TACACACACACACACATAATATGTATAAATGTATATAGATATATAATATATATAATAATTTGAGATGAATGTTAGTTTTTTTTTTTTTTTTTTAAGTACTGGGGATTGAACCCAGGGTCTTCTCATGTGCCAAACCTCATTTTAAGTTTTTATTTTGAGAGAAGAATCTCATTAAGTTGCCCACCTTTGATTTTCCTGTCTCATCCTCTCAGAGTGCTTGACTTAGAGGCCTAGCTCAAATTTTAGGGCTTTTTTACAGAGACAGGGTCTCACTATATAGTGCAGGCTGGCCTTAAATGCATTTTGTAGCCCAGGCTGACCTCAAGACACATGGAAGTCCTCTTGCCTCAGCCTCCTAACTGCTGGGATTAGAGTCATGTGCCACCATGCCCAGCAAGTTTTAGGCTTTTTGTTCGCTTTTGTGTGTGTGTGTGAAACTAGGGATTGAAACCAGGCCTTCAAACCTGTATAAATACCTGGCCTGTACGTTGTTTGACATTAATACATTAACTGTACTAATCCTTCTCAAGTAAAGGAGTTGAGAACTTTTTTCCCCCAAACTCATCACAGAATGGATTTATCTTACATATGTTCCGTTTATGTAACATACATAAAAACTAATTACTTTAGCAGAGAAATAGGAATGTAGCTCAGTGGTGCTTTGCCTGCCCGGCAAGTGCAAGGCCCTGAGTTTCATTCCTGGTACCGAAAAAACAAACAAATGAAATGAACACTTGCAAAATAAAACTCAGCAATAAGGGCCAGGGATTTGGCTCATTGGTTCCTCCACCTGCCTTGCAAGCGCAAGGTTCTGATTTCAATCCCTGGTACCAAAAAAAAAAAAACCAAAAAGCAAAAAACCCCAAACTCAGCAATAAAAGGAGTGTAACTATTAGGGAACTGTCACTATTCCCTTTCAATAACAGCTTGGATGGCTCTCAGGGACATTGTACATAGTGAGAAAGTTTCATCTCATAATGTCTCATACTTGTGTGGTTCATTTAAATAACATTCTAGAAATATTAAAATGATACAGGGAACAAATTTGTCATTAATAGGAATTAAGGAATAGGGAGGTGCAACTGTGAAAGGATACCATGGGATAGCTTCTGTGTGGTGAGGGAACAGTTCTATTCCATGGCTGTAGTATATGTGGGATAGAATTGCATAGAACTGTATTCTACCCCCACCAGCATCTCAGCTGTCACCACGTAGAAATTAATACACATAAAATCTAAATAAGATCTGTATTTTGTTATCAATAATATACCAGTGTGATTTTCCTACTTTGGGGGTTGGGCTTCAGTTAGTGTTAAAATACCGTTTGGGGAAACTAAGTGAAGGGTACACAGAACATTTTATTTTTGTAACTTTCTGTGAGTCTGAAAAAGCCCCATACACACATGCAGATACTCCTCGTTTAGTGATCGACCTGGTTAATGACTCTTCGGACTTACTGACTTAGGTGCATTGTTAAAATTTATGACTCATCTTTTTTTTCTTTCTTGTACAGTTCTGTACATTGTGTTTATAGGGTCTCACTGTCTTTTTGTTGATACAGTACACCTTGTTTATATGGTACTGTAGTTTTTACTGGTTGTATTGTACAATACAGTACTGTAGCTTTATGTTCTGTTATATATTATAGTACTGAATATAAGAATTATGCAAATGGAAACAGGTCATCAAGTTGGGGTTTTCTTTGACCATTTCTTTTCTGTGATTATTATAGTGTTCATACTGCATGCATTTCCTCATTTAATGACCTATCAGTTAATGACCTAGTTGTGAGAATGGTAATCAGTGGTTAAAGGAGTGTGTGTGTGTGTGTGTGTGTGTGCGTGCGCGCGCTGAATTCCTAATTTCTCCTGGATCCAAATTTCTGTTTTAGCCGACATAAATTGTTACATTGTTTCATTTTGTGAAATTTTTTTTTGGCTGGGGAGGCAAAATTGTTACATTGTTAAAAAGCTTATAGGTATTTGTTCTGTCATTCTGTATTTAGCATGTTTCTCTAGTGCAGTGGTGGTGAACCTGTGGCACTTGTACTTCAGCAGCTGTTTGTGCCATTGAAAGCTCCAAAGGTTGGCCATCACTGCAACTGCCAACAATGAGGACCTATTAGCCCTGAACTCGTACTATTCACCAGCATAGGATTTTTGTAAAAATCTCCCCCCACACCTTTTCATTTTTCCTTTTCTATACTGGGGCACATGCAGGGCCTTTACACTGAGCTATACTCCCAGCTCTTTTTATTTTTTTTGGTACCAGGAATTGAACTCAGGACCTTGCCCTTGCCAGGCAGGCACTGTATCACTGAGCTAAAATCCCTGGCCCAGCTCATTTTATTTTTAATTTTGAAACAGGCACTTGTTAAGTTGTTCAAGTGGTACTTGAATTTGCAGTCTTGCCTCAGCCTTTCTAGGTGCTGGAATTACAGGTGTGTGTAGCCACACTTGGCGAGATACTTGTTTTCTTTCTTTTTTTTTTCCTTTTTGTTACCAGTTGTAAAATCAAGGATTATCCTACTGACATTCTTATCCTTTTGCAATTATCAAATAAGAAATACAATTCCAGTAGCTTTTTTATAGTGTCCCAAATTTTACATTTATAAGTTTTGACCATAGTTTCCCAAGTTTTTTATTAAAATAACTTTATAATATAAAAATTTGTATCTCTTTCATTGTGTATATTTCTCTATATGCAGTTTTATTATATATATGCATTTTCAATGTTGCTATTTTACTTAATGTTATATGTTATCAAGTCAGGTCAAATTTACATACTATCTTTATACTCATTGTCTTACTAGTTTTTGGTGTTTGCCTCTAAATTTTCTTTGATCACTTCTTTCCTCCTTTCCATATATGTCTTCTGTATGTGTCTTACCCCTCCTTTTTTCTAGACCAACAGTCTCTTCTTTCCAAATAAATGATCATTCCTTTGTCTTCAGTTTGATGTTCTTAGATTTGCTGATGTTTTATTTATTTATTCTTACTGTTCATAAATGGGACATTTCTAACTGGATTTTTCTTTTAAACTTTCTTTTAGGAATTTAGACTTTGGGATAATGAACTACAGTATGTAGAACAACTTCTCAAAGAGGATGTGAGAAATAACTCTGCGTGGAACCAAAGATACTTTGTCATTTCTAACACTACTGGCTACAATGGTCATGCTGTATTGGAGAGAGAAGTCCAGTTAGTAATGTCCTTCACTTGCCCACTTGTTAAAAATTTTCATGCCTTCCATCCCTTGGGCACGGGGGCTACAGCAGAGATCAAGACTGTCCCAGATCCTCCCTGTTGAACTAAAATAGGACAGAATATAGAAATGAAACAGAATGATAAAGTCACAAATAATAGGGCATACCTCTACATTGTAATGTCAAAGTTTCTTAAATTACTGCTGCTACCAAAGATCAAAAAGAAAGCAGATTTCATATCGGGCGCGGTGGTACACACCTGTAATTCCAGCATTCAGGAGGCTGAGGCAGAAGGATCACCACAAGTTGGTGGCCAGCCTGGGCTACATAGTGAGTTCAAGACTAGCCTTCGCTACAACTGAGGCCCTGTCTCAAAAAGTGGAAAAAAAAAAACTTTTTGGTATCCAGGAAGTTTTATTTCATTTCTGTCTTATTCTTTTGCATTTTATTTAATAGTTTCCAAATGCCATGTAACTGTAATGCAGAATTTGGATTGGTTAAATTGTTTTTGGGGTTGGGGGTAGAGACTTGTGTGTCCTGTAGGATGTTTAACATCACTTCTGGCTTTAAAAAGAAATCTCTGTAAGCCAGCTTAGTGGTGCACACTTGTAATTCTACCACCCTGGGATACTGAGGGCGAAGATCGCAAATTCAAGCCCGTCCTTGGGAACAACATAGTGAAACCTGTCTTAAAATAAATGTAAAGAACGCTGGGGATTTAGTTCAGTGGTTCTTCCGCCTGCCTTGCAAGCATAAGGTCCCAAGTTCAATCCCAGGGACTCCAATAAATAAACGAACAAATAAATGTAAAGAACTAGGAATGGAGCTCAGTGTAAAGGCCCTGGGTTCAGTCTCCAGTGCTGCTAAAAAGTCTCCATATGTTGTCAAATGTCTGTCTCTCTCTCTCTCTTTTTTTTTTTTTGGTACTGGGGATTGAACTCAGGTCCTTGCGCTTGCAAGGCAGGCCACCGAACCACTGAGCTAAATCCCCAGCCCCTGCCAAATGTCTCTTTGGGGCAAAATCATCCCTGGTTGAGAGACACTACCAAAAGCTGCTTTATGGACTAGAAATTTCTGAACTTGCATGAATTTTTTTTTCTTGCCCCCCCCCCACTCCCTTTCAGATACTGGGTACTGAACTCAAGACCTTGCACTTGCTGAGCTAAATCTCTGGCCCTAAAAAAATTGCTTCTTTTTTTTTTGAGACAGGATCTCGTAAGTTGCCCAGGGTGGAGTTTAACTTGTGACCCTCCTGCTTTAGCCTCCTAGAATGCTGAGATTATAGGTGTGTGCCACCATGCTCTGCAGTAGTTTTTTTTTTTTTTTAACTTTGTCTCTTTTTCTCAATGTCTGTTTCCCAATTAGATATGCATATGTTTTAAAGGCCTATTAGACCAGGTACAATTTGTATTATGAATGTTGTCTTACCGCTACTGGGAAGAGCTGATTTTATGGCACATCTGTGTCCCTGTCGTCACCCTTGCTCTCACTTTTGCTTGAATCAAGGCACTTATCCTATGAATAGGGTTCTGGTGATTGATTTTTTGCTTGTTTGTGGAGTTTTTTTGGTACCGGGAATCAAACTCAGGACCTCACATTTACCAGGCAGGTGCTGTGCTACTTAGCTATGTCCCCAGCCCTGGTGATTGATTTTTGTTTTTAGCACTGGGGTTTGACACACATAATGCCAACCTCACCCTTTTCCACTGAACTGTATGCCAAGCCCCTAAATATTTTTGAAAAAAAAAAAAAAAAACAACTCTAGAATCTTTAGTGTACACCTTTCACTCTCTGCTCCAGGGTTAGATCTGGGACTCACCTACCCTACAAACACAGCTTATGTCTGTTTTCTGTTACTCTCCTGTCTGAAGCTATATTTTCATTGTGGTAGCCACTAACCTGATATGGCTGTTTAAATATCAGTTATCAAAAATATAAAATTTAAAATACAGTTCCTCAGTTGCAGTAGGCACATTTCAGGTATCAGTACTCATGTGGCTAATGTCTCCCATATTGAACAAGAAAGATAAAGAGTATTTCCAGAATTGCAGGAAGTGGGACTGAATTTAATAATTTTTTCCATTTTTTTTTTTGAGGTAGCATCCATGCCAGTTTTGAACTCACTCTGTAGCCCAGGCTGGCTTTGAACTCATGGTCCTGTGCTTGCTTCAGGAGTACATATGCTACAATTGAACTCAGCCTCCTGAGTGCAGATTATAGGCATGAATCGCCAGGCACAATTTGCTCTTTTGTTTGTTTGAGGTGGTCTCGCTATGTAATTGAGACTGACCTGGAACTCACTGTGTAACCCAGGCTGGTCTTGAACTCACAGCCATCCTCCTGCCTCAGCCTCCCCAGTGCTGGGATTACAGGCATGTGCCACCATGCCCGGCTTCGCACAGTTTGCTTTTATATTGTTTAAATAGTGGAGCTTAAGTAGAGAAAATTCAGACTTGATCAATTAGCAGTCTCTTACTTTTTTCTCAGAGTGGTTTTCTAGCCAAAAAGTAGAATGCTTTAGGCTATTCTACTTGAAGAGACCCAGTTAATAGTTAATGCATTTCACGTATTACATATTCTTTATTCATTGTGTTACATCATTAGGTTAGTAGCAACAAAATATTTAAAAATTGAAGAGCTTAGGGCCGTGGATTTACCTCAGTGGTTCAGTGGCCTGCCTTGCAAGTGCAAGGATCTGAGTTCAATCCCCGGTACCAAAAAAAATTGAAGAACTTGAAAAACACAAACTTGTTTCTCACATTGTGGAAGCAGATCAGTGGCTTTCTGTTACTAAATAGAAGCAGATACCAGCCAAGACACAAAAAAGTTTTCCACAAACTTTTAATAAACTTAAGGTTTAGTAGGTTTTTTTATGCATCATCCTTCAGTATGTGTAAAAGAAATGTTGAAAATGTTACTGTTAGCTGTTGTTACCTAGAATTTATAATTTGTTAAATTTTTTTTTCTCTTTTTGGTACCGGGGACTGAACTCTGGAATTTGCTCTTGCAAGACAGGCAGCAGAACCTCTCAGCTAAATCCCCAGCCCTAATTTGTTAAATTTTTAACTCTTAAAAATGTAGATAGTTGCACCTGATTGTTTTCCTCAGTTTTTCATGTAGTTTTGAGTATCAAATCCAGAAGAGCCTTGCACATGCTCAGTGGCCCCGAGCCTTTGAGTATATCCCCAGACCTGTGTTCTGCAATTTTTTTTTGGTACTGGGAATCGAGCTCAGGTCCTTGCGCTTGTGAGGCAGGCGGTGGAATCACTGAGCTAAATCCCCGGCCCTGCAATTTTTTGTTTTTATTATACACATAATGCAATGTAATGAGGAAATATTATACTGTAATTATATAAAGTAAAAAGTTAAAATCTCTTACTCTCCTCCTATTATGTGCTATAATTATGTGCATCCTTCCAAACTTTATAAATGTAATTGCAAACATTTATATGCAGCAGCCGAAACAATTGTTATAGACACTACTTTTTACAGTGTATTGCCATATTTTCATGTGTATTGTGATCATATTTTCATGTGAGTACATTGTCTGTTAGTAACACTTTTTTTTTAATCCTAAGATAGGGCCTTGCTACATAGTTCAGACTGGCTTTGAACTTACTGTGTAGCCTGTGCTGGTCTTGAACTTTCAGTGACCCTCCTGCCTCACCTTCCCACACACTGGGATTACAGGCATGTGTTATCATTTCTGGCTAGTACCATATGTAGAGTATCCCTTATCCAAAGGCCTTAGACCTTTTGGATTTAGAATTTGCATATATACAAGTGTCTGACATCTTGGTGACCCAAGTCTAGGACCCAAGTCTAAATTTAATATTCATTTATCTTTAATTTTATACCTTGTATACATAGCTGAAAGGTAGTTTTGGCAGGCAATATTTTTAATGTACCTGACTTTGGGTGGTGGGGTGCAATACTAAGAATCAAACCCAAGGGCACTGTAGCACTGAGCTACTTTCCAGCCCTTAGTTTTATTTTGAGACACAGTCTTGCTAAGCAAGTTGCCCTGGCTGGCCTTAAATTTGCACTCCTTTTGCCTAACCCCCCTGAGATTCTTGGACTACAGGCATGTGACCATGCCCAGTCAGTGTGCCTACATTTAATTGACTGCAACTCTCACATGATGGGTTAAGTGTGGAGTTTTACACTTGGAGCATCATGTCAGAGCAGAAGTTTCAGATTTTGCAGGTGAGTGTGGGAGTCAGGCTGGCCACCGCAGAGCACCAGAGCAGGAACAGTGAGCTGGAGGCCATGGCCATTGCTGCCAGGCTGCTGAGGGGCTCAGCCCAGGGGTGCGTGCCACCACTGACAGTGGTGACCCCATGGGTTGGACCACTGCAGCTGCTCAAGACACAGCAATCAAGGCCCAGAGCAGAGGAGCTGAGGCTGTGAGCAAGTTACGCAATCCTGCCCCCACCACCTTGAGAGAGCTGGTGGTTGTGGAGCCTGTAGCCAGCAACACCATCCTGCAAGGAAAGAAGCTGCAGCTGTAGGCCTGCTCCACGAAGAAACAAAAACAAAACAAAGCAAAAACATGGCTGCAAAGGAGAACTCAAGACGGTGTGAAATCTGGCCCTAAGGGTGCCCAGCAACAGTCATGCTGTTGGATATCCTATACAGATGGGATGTCAGCTCCTTTTTCCAGCAGGTCCAAAGAAGTAACCTTTTCTAGTATAGGTATTTGGTCCTTAGTATGCATTGTGTAGGTTGTATCTTAAATGTTGTGTTACTCACCTTGCCCAGGCAGCATCTGGTTCAGGTTTATTTATATTTTTTGACTGCCGTGCTCCATTATGCTGGACATCAAATCTCGAGGGACTATGTTAGGAGTGAATTGGAGTCTTCCTATGAAGACAGTATTTGGAACCTCTTCCCATGACTCAGTTTACCATGGGTTTAGTAGGTCAGTTGGTGGTGTGTATTTTATGCTCCTATGTCATAAACATGAAGCAGATTTGGCTCTTTGCAGCTCACATGCTTCCTCTGCTAGCTTGTCTCTGCCTTGTCCTTCTAGAAGCTATTGTTAGTATTAGTAAATTTGCTATGATTTTTACAGGACTGGAAGTTCTCCATTTTCCTCAGTCTAATCTTTTAGTACCTTTTAACCTTGCTAAGTCTGCATGCAGAGAATTGGTTCAGGTAGTGGAGGTCTATGGCTGTCTAGTTTTGGGAATGTCCTTGTGGAATGAACTGGTAGTCCTTGTTCTGTTTGTTTCTTTGTGTGTTTGTTTGTTTGAGGCAGGGTCTCCCTTTGTAGTTCAGGCTGGCCCTGAACTCACTGTGTAGCCGAGGCTGACCTCAAACTCTTGGCGATCCTCCCGAGTGCTGGGATTACAGGCCTGCACCATCACACCTGGCTAGAGGTCGCCCCTGTTGTATTCATGCTTTTCTGGTGCACTCGAGATCAGCCAGCATCATGTGAGAGGTTTCTGCTCCTTTTTCTCACAAGTACTGCTTTTGGGGTTGGCAGTGGTGCACTCTATTTTGGGGTTGATCTTCATGGTTCCTTTTGTTCCCTTGGGTATCCTGACATTGCAGATTTTACTTGAAGAGTTAAAGAGCTTTCATGAATGATTGTGAATGACTGAATAGGGTTGTGATGGAAAGAGTAATGCTACTAATACTGGCAGTGCACCCTGGGCTAATAGAACAGATTGTTCACCAGGCATTCCTACTCAGTATTATTCTTTTCATTGTTGTGAGTCTGTCCCCCAGTCTATGTTAGAGATTGAAGATCCTGTTTTGGCACTGGGACCATCTAGAGGTAAGAGTATATGGAAACACTTCCATGCTATACGCCTTCCTTTATTTTTACCTGTATTTCCTGCATATATGGCTTACATGATTTGCCAGTTTTTCCATATGGATTTTTGGCTTCTTGTTATCATTTCCAGCAGCATTCTCACTTCTCTGTAGATTCTGGGAACACTTTTTATTTATGTCTTATTTATGGTTGAATTCAGAAATGAGCCAGTGGAAAACATGGATGATGTCATTTACTATGTGAATGGCACTTACTGCTTGCTGGAGTTTCTTGTGGCCCTCTGTATCGTGGCCTGTGGCATCCTGGAGACCATCTTTGAAGAATGGACTAGAATGGGTTCGATGATCATCTTCATGTATTCCTATTGTAATGTGTGGCTTCAGGCCCTGCTGAGATATAAGAGCTTTCTTCTCCACAGGGATGCTGTGAATAAGATCAAATCATTACCCATTGCTACAAAAGAACAATTGGAGAAACACAGTGATATCTGTGCTGCCTGTTATCAGGACATGAAATCAGCCATGATCACACCATGTAGTCATTTCTTCCCCGCAGGCTGAGTTAAAAAATGGCTGTATTTCTTAAGACCTGCCACTGCCACCTCAGAAACTCAGTTTACAGGATTAGGGACAGACTCAGCTCTACAGCCTCAAGTTGGAGCTGAGTGAGACATCATGCTTCAGGAAGGTACTGAACCTCTAGGCCTTGAGCATTCTCCAGGGACTGGCATGCAGGAAGTGTCTGTGGACAGTAACAGCACATCACCAGAAGGCTGGATAGCCAGGAAAGGACCCCGGAGAGCACCCTCAGAGTATAAAACACAAGCACATCCAGTTGCATCTGCTTAGAGAATTGGGAGTGACACTTTGGTATTCCAGAGTTTGCGAGAGATGGAATTTGCTCAGATCTAAAGAGTTGGGTGTATGGGATGAATAGGTAGGAAACTGACATTCCAGTGATCTGTTCAGGAAGCACTTACAGTGGAAACCACCTGCTTTCATCCCTTGATATAGGAAAAATGTTGCAGTGTATGCTGATCAAAATGTATTTATATGATGTATGCTGATGTTTACTGGAGGTTTCCTGAGAAAATTCAACTTCAGCAATTTCAGGAATAGCCTGATAAGTGAGGCATAAGTGAAATCAGATTTAAATGTTTCAAAGGGCGAAGAAAAAGAGAATACAGAGCATGAGAGCATGGGAAGAAGCGGTCAGAAATGGAACTGGCGTTTACCTTTCTATGGGACCAGATCATTCTTGTTATAAAGTATGAGTAGCGACTAGCCCTTTTCTCCACCCTCTTTTCCTTCATTTAATTGTGACTCATCGGTTGATTATTGAGTTTTGAACAGCAATATTGCCGTGAGATCAAAGATGTGGAAGCATGGATTGTATTCAAAGATAGAAGCACACTTATACTTCAGATGTGCTTTAGAGAAAGGGGTGGGTGGGTGCTGGACCTTGTGGGTGTGTTCGTGTTACCTGAGACTCTTTAACTTTATGACAGCGTCTTCATTATTTTTTTGTGTATGGAACTTTTGTTCTTATATTGTATACTTTGTCGGCTGCATAATCTTAAACTCTAATGAATGCTTTGGAGTTCCCTCTTTCTCGAAGGAGGCCAAAGTGGGAGGAGCTTTAGGGCACTAGTATAGGCCCTGGGTATACTTTTCAATCTTGTGTAATGTTTAATTCTTGCAACCAAATCAGAACAGTGTTAAATTATGGCAATATTTGCACTTTGGGAATAAGTATGTAACTGTGATCACACTCTGCAAATGCCACTTTTAAAGCTGCTAATAGACTTTGCCCCTTCGACAAGCATGTGTCATATTTAAATTTTTATATTCATCATTGCTACAGGGGGCTAGAGATTTAGCTCAGGTGTGCCGCTGCCTGCCTTGCAAGAGCAAGGACGCAAGTTTGATCCCCAGTACCAAAACATGCCTACAGGTAGAATTGAGGAGGGGGAATGTAATTTTTATGGGAATTTTTGATAGGAAAAGAAAGTAGCCATTTATACAATATGCTTGGCTCAAAAAGTGTTTTTCAGGCTAATATTAATGTGGGATGTGACTTTAGTAGCACGTTCGGATGTAGACCGACACATAACTGAATGTCTTAAATTTAAATTTGAAGATAAAATTAATTTCAGATTTTTGGACCTTTCTGCATTTTCAGTTTTGGGGTGCCCAACCTGGATCAATAATAACATTTACTATATGACAAGAATTCTAGTTTAATTCTTGTAACTCTCAGAAATACTCGTGAAAAACTTGGGATTTCAAGTAATTCTATAATTGCTTTCACAGCACTTAGTTAATTGGTGAATTTAGGAGTTGCAACTAGGTAGCCTCCTGTTGAAGTCCATGTTTTGTCCATGAAAGTAGTCGATACTTTAGCGCACATGAATGTAAGTGCAATTTTAGGTATTGGCAGAAAGGAAATAATAATCTACAAATACTAGCTAGACCTGCAACTAAAACATTGTTTTATGAATAACTGAAAAAACAAGTCATGTGAAAGGAGTTGGAAAAACTGTTCATAATATTGAATGAGTTTATCGTTACTCTGTATGAAAAAAATATCTGATTGTAACAGCTCTGCAAGACCAGGACTACTAACTTTAGTCAGTAATTTACTTAGTTAAACAAGTATAGGGTGGAGCACAGTTCTGTAATTTCCTTAGAATTTGTAGCAATGGACTAAATTATATTTAGTAATTGGGTTAGGAAAGGGGTAAGGTATAGAGGCAGTGTCGATTTTGACTGGAATCACAATCTTGTTTTAGAACATAAAAAATACATGCTGGTTTTTGTTTTTTAGTTTTGTAAGTTTTTTTGTACTGGGAATCGAACTTGGGGCCTATTGCTGCCAGGCAGGTGCTGCATTGCTGAACTTGAGTCCCTGGTCCTGTTTTTTATTTATTCTTTTTCTGTATGATTTCCAATCTAATTTTTATTATGGCTCTTAAGATTATATTCATTATTCTTTTTAGTGACTAAGGATTTGTCAGGCATAAGTAAAAATTTGACTTGTTCCCTAAGTTTCCTTTACAGAAAAAAAGGAAAGTGTCCCTGTTTTAGCTGACATTTCCTAAAGAAGGAAGAATCTTCCATATTTCTTTCCATATGTAAACTGCAGCTTTATTTATTTATTTATTTAGAGATGGAGTCCTTGCTGTGTAGCTCAGGCTGGCCTTCAAACTAACAATGATGCTCCTGCCTTAGCTTCCCAAGTGCTGGAATTACAGGCATGTGCCATCACACTCAGCTAATTGAAGATTTAGGTTAGTTAAATGTCCTTCTGCAGAATTTGCCACAGAAATAGAAGGAGGAGGAAGTCTATAAGATTTGGCCAATTACAGACCCAGGGATTCTCTAATTTAGCACAAGCTGGAGAGGCAGAAGTGGGGCAAGATACAAGAGGGAGTAGGTGTACAGGCTGTGCTGCAATCTTACTAAAACTCTGTAGTCATTGTATTGGGCCTTGATTATACACATAATTTGTGGGTTTTTTCTTACAGGTACACTCTGGAAATGATAAAACTTGTGCCACACAATGAAAGTGCATGGAACTATTTGAAAGGGTAAGAGATTGTTTTCACTGGTTTTATATCAAAAAACAAGCTGCTAATACATGCATCATGGAATATGTTCCATAATCAGATTTAAAGGGATACTAAATTTTTCATGTTTCTGGATCTAGGCAGAAATATAACAGGGTTATGATGATTCCCAAGAACTGTGCCTCTGTTCTATCTACTCTGAAATTCCTGAGCACATACCTGCACAGTTTTTAGAACAGCATATGAATAGACAGTAATACATTCTTCATTGTATTTATGAATTGTCTAGTTTGTGTGACAGAGATGGAATATACGCATTCACATTCTGCCCAGCTCGGGTATACTGACATAAGGTAAACTGTTCACAGCAGGCTGTGGAGAGATACCCAGTTACAAGTTTTACTGCTTAAAACAGGCGTCATTGCCCGGCCACTGATGTAGTCAAGGCTGCCCTTGTTGATCTTAGGCCTTCAAGGAAAAGGTGCAAAGAACAGTGTAGAGCCCAGTCATATTTGACGTTGTGCTAGGACTTGGGGCCTACAGTCACTTGAGAGAAGGGAGAAGAACCATCTCAGGGAACAGCTCTTCCCCTGCTTTTTGCTTCACTTTTTATTTTTAAGAACATGATTTACACTGAACTGGGTGGCTCATGCCTACAATCCCAGCACTGTGAGAGGTGGCACCAAGGATCACAAGTGTGAGTCCAGCCCAGGCAACTTGGCAAGACTGTCTCAAATTTTTAAAAAAATACTAATAATTATAAGAGGCTGGAGGGTGTATCTCAGTGCAAAAGTCTTGGGTTCAGAAAGAAAGAGGAAGGGCTGGGGATTTAACTCAGTGGTGCCATGCCTGCCTCACAAACGCAAAGTCCTAAGTTTGATTCCTGGTACCAAAAAAAAAAAAAAAAAAAAGAAAGGGGAGAGAGATTTATTTTCTTCTATAATTCTATATGTTAACATAGTTTGAATTCATGATTTTTAAAACTAATTTTACTCGGCTCTTAATGATTCACAATAAAGCTCACATAATTTAAAAGTTTCATTTTGTTTAATCTTCATTCAAAATAAGTCTCCTTTTCTAGTTTGTATTTCAAGGCCTATTTCCTCTTGTTCTTTCTACTATGTTTGTTCTTCCTCTCAAAATGGAGTTTTATTTTCAGAATTTTGCAGGATCGTGGTCTTTCCAAATATCCCAACCTATTAAATCAGTTACTTGATTTACAACCAAGTCACAGTTCACCTTATCTAATTGCCTTTCTTGTGGATGTCTATGAAGACATGTTAGAAAACCAGTGTGACAACAAGGAAGACATTCTTAATAAAGCATTAGAGGTGAGCTGGTGGGACGTGGAACTTTTCTTCTGGGCATCTCAAAATTAGTCTGCCCAGTGCCACTGGGGTTCACACCCCCTTTCAGTGTGGTTACTGCAGGCTCATTCTAGTTTGGTGTAATGTCTTTGTGGCACTGGAGAACGTGGTGGGTGGCGGACCAGTGTGTGTTGTGAACATCATCTGAGTTAAATTATGTTGTTGAAAAGGCATGTGCCCTTGAGATTGAATCACACATTGATATCAATAATTTTTTTTTTGTTTTCAGTTATGTGAAATCCTAGCTAAAGAGAAGGACACTATAAGAAAGGAATATTGGAGATATATTGGAAGATCCCTTCAAAGTAAACACAGCAGAGAAAGTGACCCACCAACAAATGTACAGCAATAACATCATCCAGAAGAACTTGATGGAATGATTTTTTTTTTTTAAGGGGCTGTAAGCAGGAGTTTAAAACTAGAGTGAACATTCCCTTACCTGTGGTGTTAAAGATGAATCACACAGATACTGATTTTTAACCAGAACTAAGTGTGATGTTCCTTGGGTGCTGCTGTTACTCATATTCGCTCTGAGAAATTTGACTCTTTTAAAGCAAAGTAATTGGAGGGGAGAGGGAATAAAAAAGTCGCATAAAGGAACCACTACTTTTATAGTCTTACCAACATTTAATCTACTTGCTGTGCGTCGCCTTTCCCCTAAGTGGTATTTGCATCTGTAATGACTGCAGTCTACTTGTCTGTAGCAGATCTGAGGTGACTAAAGTTTGGTTCAGTAAGTTGGGAATGCAGGTGTCCCATCAGAGCTGCTGTACCACACTCACAGTAGTATAGCGATCACTGTAACCAACTAATGCAAAGACTGGTTTTGTAATAAAATTACAGATACATCTAAAAGCAACTACCATGGTAGTTTGACTTTTTAATAGCATTTAGTTACAAGGGACATTGTCTCAGTATAGGAAAACGTTTGAAAATATTTGTATAAAACAAAACCACAAATAATTACAGTAAAGGAAATATTAACTATGAAAATGTGAATTGTTCTTGACTGCAAGCAAAAGAATCCACTCAAGGTAGTATAAACCAGTAGATTTCTTCAGATCTGTGGATAGCTCACAGTTAACTTTTATCTTCTAAAAGTGCACCCCAAAACCAAGGTATAGAACTGGGCGTCATATTGCTGTTGCTATGCCAGTCAGGAAACTGGATGAGGAGTAAGGAAGCCATAACCTGGCTCCAGACTCCAGGACTGTTCCCCTGCTGCCTGCCGCCTTCCCACAGCACGCCTCATCTTCCCTTGTGATACGGTTCTAAAGGAAAGGCTCAATTTAGTGTTCCGGTTAGCGAAGAACTTACCATTTGTATACAACTTAGCTTTCTATCCTTTTCTATTAAGTCAGACTAAAGAGTTTTGTTTTTGCTGTTTTTTGAGACGGGGTCTTGCTATGTAGCTCAGACTGGGCTTAGACTTGCAGTGATTCTCTTGCCTCAGCCTCTCGAGTGCTGGGATCACAGGTGCTTGCCTCCTCTACTGCTTGCTTTGTTTTGTTTTGTGGTACTGGGATTAAACCCAGGACTTTGAACATACTAGGCAAGCACTCTATTACTGAGTTATATTCTAGCCATTATTTTTTTGAGACAGGGTCTCAGTTGTCTAGGCTGGCCTCACATGTGAGGTCCTCTTGCCTTAGCTTCCTAAATTGCTGGGATTATAGGGGTTCACCACCATGCCAGGCAACAATGCCATTTTCTATTTTTTTTAAAATAACTTGCACAAAAGATTATTTCTGGTCACATGTAATGGGTTTATTGCTTTATTAGTGAATAAAAATTAAGACATTAATACTGTAGTATCACTACCAGCAGTACCAATATCCGTACTGTCAGCATAAAGAAATGCTTGGATTAGAATAAAGAGCCTTTTACCCTCAGGGAATTCACTTTTGAAACTAACAGTGCTTCTCACCTCTGTCTGTTGCTTCAAGATATCTCTGTTTTGGCTGTTTGAAGAAACATTTGAAAACAATCTGCTTGAGGAATCAGGAGGAGTGCGTGAAGTTTCATTTCTTAGTGGGGCCTTAAATTCACTTTTATAATTGGTTGCATCACAATTCAAAACTTAAAAATCAGCGGAGAAGTTCAGAATATTAGGAAGTCATATTTTAAAAAATCTTTTTTCAGACTGACTTGTAACCCATTAATGGGCAGTTACATCAAATGACAGGATTTCAACCAGGTTTTTGGGGGGTTTTCTTAGTGAAGTGAAGTAGAAAAAAATTTTAGCTCTTTGACTTTGCCTTCTTGAATTGGTTGACTGGCCTTTTCGGATATCTTAAAGTAGAAGTGTGTCTGGTTGATTGAAGATCTCATTTCCTAATTCAACATTTAATGTGAATTTCAGATCAGGATGTTGTTCACCCACTTGTTATTTGTTTTATTCCTGATGTTTCCTTCTGACATCATTTATTTCTGGTCTGAGGAACTTTAGCAGTTCTTTCAGGTAGGTCTGCTGTCTGCAAATTCTTACTCTTTGCCAAGTGCAGTAGCATATGTCTGACTCAGCACTGGTAGGCTGAGTCAGGAAAAATCACAAGTTCTAGCCTAGTTTAAGCAAATTAGCAATTTAGCAAGACACTGTCACAGAATATAAATAAGGCCGGGGATATAATTCAGTGAGAAAATCCTGGGTTCAATCCCTAGTACTAAAAAAGGAAAAAAAAAAAAGCAAACAAAACCTCTTTTATCTAAGTGTCTAGGATATTTTCATTGGATTTAGAATTCTGGGTTTACAAATTTTTTTCTTTCAGCACTTGAAAAATGTTCATTTTCTCTGGGCTTCATGATTTTAGATGAGAAATTCAGTCATTAAAATAGTTGTTCGCCTACAGGTTATGTATCCTTTCCTTTTTGCTGTTTTCAAACTTTTTTGTCTTTAGTTTTAAACAATTTGATTTTGATGTGTCTGGTTATGGATGTCTTTGGATTTATTCTGTTTGTGGCTTGCTCAATTTTAAGCTGTAGGGTTCCCCTCCCAAACTTGTAACATTTTCAGCCATTGTTGCATTAGTGTTTTCATTACTTTCTTGTATCCTCTGAAATTGCATAACCTTTTATGTCCCTAAGTGCTGGAGGTTGTTTTTTTCCTGTTGATCAGATTGAATAATTCCATTAATCTGTCTTGACTTCTCTGTCATCTCTCTTGTGCTCTTAGATCTGCCCAGTGAGTCTTTAATATTTGCTTATAGTGTTTGTTTTTAACTGAAACTTTATTGTCAAGAGGGTTTTTTTTTTTTTTTTTTTTTTGGTCAAGAGTTTTTACAATTGCTTATTTGAGAATTTCAGTACTAATGTCTTTATCAAATCATTCCAGCATCTGTGTCTTTTCATTGCTGATAACCTTTTCCTGCAAATTGTGATTCTATTTTTATTTTTTTTTTTTTTTTTTTTTTGGTACTGGGGATCGAACTCAGGGCCTTGCACTTGTGAAGCAGGTGGCACCACTGAGCTAAGTATCTGGCCCCCAAGTTGAGATTCTTGTGATACTTCATTTACCTAGTAATTTTGGACTGTATCCTGAGCATATTGACCATTATAAAACTAATTTTTGTTTTATTTTTTATTTTTTTGGTACCAGTAATTGAACTTGGGTCCTTGCGCTTGCGAGGCAGGCAGCAGAACCACTGAGCTAAATCCCTGGCCCTGGCCCTGTGATTCTTAAACCAGGCATGGTGGTGCACACCTAGAATCCCAGCACTAGGGAGGCTGAGGAGGACAATTGCTGCACGTTGAAGTCCAGCCTGAATTACATAGGAAGACCCTGTCTCAATCAGTCAATGAGTCCTCCAAAAACCAACTAGAGCTTGTGTAGGTCCTGTGGAAAATGGTGATTGAAAGCACTCAATACAAGTTTCACACATCCTGGGGCTGGGGATTTAGCTCAGTGGTTCAGCTGCCTGCCTCGCAAGAGCAAGGGCCGGAGTTTGATCCCTGGTACCAAAAAAAAAGAAAAATTTCACACATCCTTTGGTGCCAAGTTCCAAAGCCAGTTCCATGTCAAAACTTTTGCATTGCTCTTTGTATCTGTCTCCTCTGTCAATCAGCTGTTAATTTTGGAATTGAATAGAAATCTGCTTCTGCTCATAAGCACAGTTCTCAAAGCTTTTGCAGTGCTAATTGGAATCGGATCTATAGTGTGTAAGTCTGTGCAGGTCGGGTGAGCCCAAGTGTTCATAACTTTATGCTTTGCTTCCCTGATCCCCTCACTTGTCACTTCAGTACCTTTTCCTTCTCTGAGGTTTCCCTTTCAGTTCTAGACAGAAGCCTCGTACTTAGAGCTGCACCGTCACTTCCACAATTGTGCCACATCAAAGGGAAAATAGAAAACTGCAGAATTGGTGTCTGCCCTTTTGCTGCAAATTCCACTGATTGGAAAAGAAGACCTCTCCTAGTTTTGGCTCCTGCAGATTTTTGTTGAAACTTCTTCCTTCACAATACCATAAATTCTCTCTTGCCGGGTGTGCTGGCGCACGCCTGTAATCCCAGCACTTGGGAGGCTGAAGCAGGATCGCTGTGAGTTCGAGACCAGCCTGGGCTACTTAGTTCCAGGTCAGTCTCAACTACATAGTGAGACCCTGACTCAAAAAACAAACAAACAAAAGCTACCATAAATTCTGTTTAGATTGTGAAGATAAGTTCCACAGGACAAGAAGTTTGCATATGTCCAGTCTTACCAAGTGGTGATCCCGTTTATCCTTGAAGTCTCTACTTTATTGGCTTTTACAGGTTCTTTGCTTTCTACAGCTTTTGTTTTCTTTCCTACGATCAAAATTTCTACATGCTCAGACTTGGTTCACTTCTTTTTTCTTTGTGTTCTCTCTTGGAAATGTCCTTATTTTGAGCATCACAGTATTCTCTGAACAGGTGATTCCTGTATGTAAAGAATATGCCCTCTCACCAAAGATGGCAGTTTCTGCTGGATGTTAATTAACTTGGATCACCACACCATTTCAAACTCAAATTGTCATTTCCTTGCTTACTCTGAAACTCAGCTGAAACCCTTGTGCAGTTTTGTTAGAACGTGATTTTAAGTGTATTCCTAAGACTCATGCTGTGCAAAAACATGAATATAAACCACTGGGCTTATGGTAAAAATAGGGTTAGGGAGGGCCAAGGATTTAGCTCAGCAGCACAGGGCCTGCCTGGCAAGCTTGAAGTCCTGAGTTCAATCCCTGATACAAAAAAAAAAAAAAAAAAAAGGATTAGGGACACAACCGTCAGAATCCTATTCAGTCAGAAAAAGGTAAAACCCAATAAAAATCACAGTGTCGTTTTACACATCAATGCTTAAGAAATGTGTATGGTACTCGCTTCACCGCACATATATTAAGAAATGTGGCACTTCACCTTGAGAAAGACCCAAAGCTTATTACAGAAGGCATAAGAAGGTATACGCTTCATGAGTTAATCTGAAATCTCAGAGGGGTAACACCGGATGTATGTATATGTGGCTCATAACACGTGATGAATGGAAGATGCCACCATGTTAAGTGCATGAGTAAGTTTGTGTTCTTAGGCAGCATGGCTCAGCTGGCTGTAGTTTTCTGCATTCACCTGGTGCTCCCAATAAAATTGTACATCAT